AATAAAAAATAGTACAAAAACTCATAACTTAAAGTCCTTCTTGGTATATTGGTCTCAAACTGCTGCCTTTTGAAAGCAAAGAGACAGAATTCAGGATGGCAGTGTACCATAACATCAGCTGATTTTGAGGTCTGTCTGAATAGTTAATAGAGATGCACCAATCCAATTCCTGGATCATATCGGCATCGATACAAATTTTTTTTAGTCAGATCAGATACGGATGACAGGAATAGGGCTGTGAATCTTTGGGTAGACAGCGAATCGATTCGACAGCCATGATGAAATAAAGGCTTTTTAAATTTTTTTTGAATAAGATTCGAGTGCCTTGGACTACCGTTATTCTTACGAGTTGAATCATCCCTTGCACCCAAAGAGCACCGAGACTAGAAACCTAATACCCCGTGCAGCACTTCTTTTGCATTCTTTATTTCGAGCGATTCGATTCACTATTCATAGGTTTTCAATTCGATTCAAGAACGATTTTTGCAAATTCAGAACGATTCAATTCGATTCGATTAACGATTCGATTCTGCATTCTTTAAGTGCATTCACAGGATTATTTAAATGCTTCCCCTAAATTCATTTAATGCTTAGTCAGGGGGCAAATTACACAGCAGCCTTTTATGGTTACAGAACCATAGGTTAGAGAAAGAAAAAAAAAACACTTTTGTCCATTGTTAGATGCTAGTTTAATGATGCTATGGCATGACATGGAATATGTAGAAATTTATGTAAGCCAAGACTTAAAAAAAAGAGCTTTAAAAGTATAATGTATAGGCTAACATTTTGTCACACCAGGGGCGTAGCCATCATTTCAGAAGTGACAGAAATGTCAAATACAATAATTCTATGTATGTATTATTATTATTTTTTTTTTTTTTACAAGTAATTATTTTCTTAATCTCTTACTTTGAATTTGCTGTAAGAAATCAAATACACTTCTGGACAATAATCAATCATTTGTAATCTATAATTTTTTCCTAATGGCAATTTTATGATTGTTTTATATACTACAAACAATTATTTCAATTTTCTGCACAGAATAAGGTAGAAAATATACTTTATAGTTTCTGTACTGTAATAAATGATATGTCAATTAGCACTGCATCATTCATAAATTGTATTTATTTATTGTGTTTATTGTCTTAACGTTTTATCAGTTCATTCTGCTTTTTATTCAGTTAGCTGCAGATATAGCCTGGCACATCTTAATTCTATGAGCGCGAGATCACTTCTCTTTCAGTGTGAAAACTTCTTTATCTCATTTTCATAAAATAAAATGCTTTAACCCAATAAAATGTATTTAACTTTTCCTCTCCATCTGCAAATGATGATTCTGAAAGAAAACACGCCTGAAGTCTGTTTGCTATAGCAACGAACGCTACTTTCATGCATCTGATTATCAGATAAAGGTTGTTGTTAATTTTCAAGGTTGTTGTTAA